TTGCTTGTATTATCCGACGACAAGCTTGCTCAGCAGCTCTGAATGAAAATAACATACTAATAATACTAGGATCCAACGCTATAACACGTAGGCAAATTAAACAATGTTGTAGCATTTGTGCATAGTTGTAACTGTCGCCCTTTGCGGCCCCATTCCATGAGCTAGCTGTACGGAGAGGGACCACGTCAGCGCCAGCATTGTGAGGGAGGCCACGTCAGCGACAGTCACTCACTCACTCACCCACCCACCCACCTTCCTTCCCCCTCTTGGTCTTGGGAGCCAACGGTATGTTTGTTGTACTCAACTCAACACTCTACACTCAAGTTTCGATTGTTCAGTGTTATCTTTACCGGTATTAACATTATTCAATAGCTCTATTTACTTTCCTTTTTAGTTTGTGTTGTTTTGGTCTATAGAAAATAGATCACATTTTATTATAGCCAATAAACATATACTTTTTATACAAGGGTGATGTGGTATGAGATTAAATCTTTGACCTCCATGATCAAGGCATGCCTACTAATTGTTAGAAACTGAACAATTGAAATTATGATTACAAAACCTGGTTGAGTCACAAACTAGGTCACTCTTTCACGTTCGTTCCATTGTTTCGTAATGTGCACAATAAAGTATCGATCGCCTCTAGGATAAAACAATCAATCTTTGTTTACTCTCGCCTTGTGCGAAGCTCTCTGAATCTCACTCTCTTCGTGCTTTTTCTCTCTCGATTGTATATCTAGAGGGTCTGGGAGTCAACTGTTATATAGGACTCGAAACCCTCTGAATACCCTCTTCGTGGGTAATAATGAAGTCATGTTAATTACAATAGTAATTTAAACAAGTTATGATATTAATTATCCTTCAATACATTTTTCGTTTTGGTATAGGAAAAGGAATAAGATAATGGCTTCGGATTTTCCCCCCAGAAAAGTTATAATCTCAATCCAAACAACTCGGTCGAATAGACGACGACGCTCTGTATGGAGGTCCTTTATATCCTCCCTCTCCTACAAAAGTAAGTCACCCCACAGTTTTATCTTTAAGATAGATAAACACATTCTTACATATCTTTTGCAAGGCTCTGTCCACCAATTTTGTATTTGAGACTTTATTTATAGCTTTCAGAATTATTCATTCCCAACAATAATAAACTAGTAGACCATATTGACTTTTCTAATATGGTGGCTACTTCGGTGCACTCACTTTTTTGGGTGCATTCAGTGCACCCACCTCTAAAAGTGGTCATAATACATCAAATTTTGAAATTTAATGGGTAGCATTAGTCTCATATGATGATATAACATAAAATCACAACTAATCAACCCATTACCCTAACTTATTAACATTCAATTTTGAATCTAAACCCAAAATCCCAAATTGTAAACCCTAACCCTAACCCTAAATTCCTAAACCCTGAATCATTCAAATTAAAGTGAACCTTGATTGATTTTTGTACAAATTCATGTGGTTCTTGTTCATCATACTACAAGGGATGATTGACATCGTTTTCACATGAATCGTCTGCTCAGAATGACGATTATGAGGTGGGTGCATTGAATGCACTCAAAAAAGTGAGTGCACCGAAGACATAACCATATATATATATCCTAGAAGAGCATTCAAAACTCTATCAATTAAGCGATAATGTATCATAAACCAAACTCTAAAAATAAAGAAATAACCAAATTTCTCAGCTGAATGAATGGGATAAAGTAGGCTAGGTTGTGAAATCGCGGGGGTATCCGGACCCGGTCGAGCTATTGGGTCAAGGGTTAATGGGTCACCCCTTTTAATCCGGTTTAGCCCGAAATATGAAAATAGTCATTATATTGTAGTTATCCTGATAAATTATATCAAATCTCATCTAACATATGAGTTATAACATATAATATTCCACCAAAACAACATGTCGTAATTAGATCCAACATATAGTGAAAATTCAATATTCAAATGTTCAACTTAGGATTCCAAAGATTGAGTTAGTCGAATAGAAAAATCAGAAAATAGGCACATTTCCCAAACCAAAGAAAAAAATGACACAATTTGGCCTCCAACCCGGAACCTTGTAGCAGTCGACCCAGCGGGTGCGTGCGGCCCGTTTTTCTCACCGGGCCAGGATCAAAGCGGGTCGACCCGTGCGGGTTGACGACCTTGCTACATATCAACAAAATACGTAACTAACTAACAACTGTACGTCCTAACTAATTAAGATGGCATAATAACCCTAACAAACATATCATATGTAGCTAATAATACAACACAACGGTTTGAATAATCTAAGTCCCAAAAGAGACACGTTTTGTTGACACTTAGCAAAATGAAGGTCGTGAGGTTTGAATTACCGAATATAGACACCATAGATCGATCCATCGAGGAAGACAAGTTTGGGTGCGTTGCGCTCTTGACTCTTGTTTGTCCTCATAGCCGACAACTTATCATTGAAATGTCCCAAAAGCATTATTAGGTATATAGCTAAGTCATCTTGCCGATAGCTCCAATCGAAACGACAAGCCATATATAGCTACGCCTATTCCCTTGTTGCGAGAATTAATGCCAGCTGCTGCCTTTTGTTTGCATTCCATTAGATCGACAATCCTACACCACAATAAAATATGTGTAAATAGTGGTCGTCATCTCTAGTCTTCTTACATAACCTAACCTTGATTTCCCACGGCTCGTCGCCTCACTGGTTAGCTAGCGAGCTGCTTACGAACAATAACCAGCCAGCCTGTACCTGATTAAGATGAACTAACTAACTGACTAAGTACTCGGTCGTTTGAACATTAATGTAATGTAGTGTATTTTTCTTGTTGAGACGACACAATCGAACAAAGATGAAAGGGAAAGCAAAGGTCGGTAGCTAGCCAGTACGTAGGGAGGATGGTGATTCGCTGCAGGCAGGCTGGCTGGCTGGCTGGCTAGCTAACCTTGGAGTGTCCCATTCAGGCCATATACTAAATTTACGTACGAACGAAGAATACTTCCATGCATCCACATCCACACAGCTAGCTAGCTAGTTGTAAAAAGAGTCTAGGCTAAGCTGAACTCATGTATGCATATGCTATGAAACTGTAGTAGTGACTCGGAGTCGGCAACTGAACCGTGATGACAATGATGGCAAGACGGGTACATGAACAATCTTATTTGCCTCTCACAAAGTACGGATTGGGTCGGATAATATCCAATCGGGTACGAGTCGGACAGATCGATCCACTATCACATATTAGTTGAAAGTAAATCGATCTAAATTTTATGTTTTTACAATAAAACAATGTGAAACCATTTCATATAAAAAATAGAGATATTAGATAGAGAAATTGAGTTTAACTAGTTGAACAATAAAATTTCACATTTATTCAAGGTTTCATTGGCCGAGAATCTGATTTAAGAAAAATAAAAATAGGAGAAGCATAAATAGATGTTGAGGTAAATTGAAATAATACAGGTCAATAATGGACTGGATGAAGTAGTACTCCTACCTGATCACACATTACTGTGAATCGGGTTATTCTCACCCCCATGACGAATCAGATTGACTAATATCAAACGAGGATGTTGAAATTGAACTATAATAATTGCCCCAAAGTTGTCTTGCTAGCTACTTAACAAGAATTATAATTATTTTTGTTTCATTTTCAGCAAAGCAAACTAAGAATTATATTTATCTTTGTTCCCATCAGAACAAAGCAAAATAAGAATTATATTTATTTTTGTTTTTATTTTATGTTTTATTTTAATTTATTTTCCCGGTCCAAGTTCCAATCTCTCATCTCCCACATTAAAGAAAACATCAAGTTCCACGTTGAATTTATATATGTATTTTATCAGAAATTCCACTTCCATATTTCTGTAATTAATTAAGCAAGTAGTATGGTATCCTTTCTATTGAAGTTAAGTATTGTATGATGATACCTTCTCTTCTTATACAAGGATATATAATTTTGTCGAGGCATGTGATTAATGGAGGATTACTCAAATCTTGAAAGAATAGTGGAAACCCTAGGAAAAAATATATATATCTCATGCACTGTGCGGTACTCTTGGTGGGTGGCGCCATGAAAACCATAAATTTTAGTTTAATAATTCATAATTTGCATATTGATGAAACCACACAAAAGGTTGATACATAACCAAGACTAGTAGCCAAACAATAATACCTAGAAAATAATAAATATAGTTACCAAAAAATAAATAGTATTAGTTATCCCTAGTATATGACCACAATTTGGGGTATGGTAGTGTTGTTAATAAATTATATAAAATTTGTAATTGAGTATTTTCCAATAGTTTGATTAACAATAATACCTAGAAAATAATAAATATAGTTACCAAAAAATAAATAGTATTAGTTATCCCTAGTATATGACCACAATTTGGGGTATGGTAGTGTTGTTAGTAAATTATATAAAATTTGTAATTGAGTATTTTCCAATAGTTTGATTTATTGTGACCAATTAATTATTGACATGATATAAGAGCATTCGATAATCGAGATATTTTGTGTTTGAATAACCACGACCCTCAATATTCAGCACATGATTTCCAGACTTATCCAAAGTTCAAGCCTATATGAGTTGAATTTTCTTCGAGGAGTGTGTTAGTAAATGGTCAAAGATCCATGATCAAATCTCTCCAACCACTCGAGTAAATTGAATCAATTGGTTCTTAACAATTGTACTGTAACTTGTAATGGCTAATTATAGAGTGACGGAGCTACACGTATCTCAGAGTTGTCTTTGTAACCCCCTCCTCCGTCAATATTTTGATCTTAGGTGATAAAATGTGGATCACATAGTAAATATACATTGAAAAGTTGTAAGATGGTAGGTTATTCCTCCATTTTATCTAGGGCTGGAGGTTCGGTTATCGGTTGTCGGTTAAATCGATAACCAGAGGTTACCCGACTAACCGAAATAAACGTGTGCGGGCGGTGTTTGGTAGCGGGGTTAGATAGATCGGTTAACCGGCTAACCGACAGTGATAACTGCCGGTTAAACCGACTAACCGACGCATCTAGCCCCTCGTAAAACGACGTCGACGCATTTCCAACCTAACCCTAATCGATCCACCATTCCACCCCAACCTCTAACCCCTTCCTCTTCTCTGCATCGCGAGCTCTCTCCCCTGCCGCCCCCGCATGCCCTAACTCTCCCTGCCGCATGTCCTGAACGGCGATTCAGCGATTCGCCATCTCCCTTCCCGACGCAGCCGACGGTGGAGAGACTCCCCCTCTCTCCGCCATCTCCCTCCCCGACGCCGCCGCTCTCTGACATCTCCCTCTACGACGCTGCTGCTCTCCGCCATTTCCCTCCCTGACCCACGCCCCTGCTGCTCCGCCGACCAGTCCACCAGCAGCCAGCAGTCGCCGCTGTTCCTCGGTTCCTCCCCTTTGATAAATATGATGTGAGTTGTGATGGATAAATCTGATGTGAATTTGTGATGTGAATTTGTGATGGATAAATCTGTGCGGTTCATTTACCAGGATGGAAGTGGAGTGATGAAAGTTGTAAATTGGTGGTGAAGATTGTGAGAAATGGAGTTGAAAGAATCTTGGTTTGTGGTGGTGTTAAAATTAGTTTTATTTAATCAGCCTAAGCCCCAATCCACTTTTATTCTTTTTATTATGCTTACAACAATGGGAGCTCTTATACCCTTTGACAGAACATAGATTTCTCAGTTACATTTTCCTTTTATGTTTCAACTATATCTTGTTTGGTTACGTATGCTATGACCAACCAGAAGAGAAATGAACAGAAGTTAATTATATTCATTTGTGCTTGACATTAACACTTTGCACGATTAAAATTAAGATTTGTCGTCGTTGTTGCTTGATTTTCACTAAGATTTCTTTGCTATTAATTCTTTTTCGAGATTCGAAAGTATATCATGTTAAATTGTTAATTAAATGGCTTGTACTTGTGGACAACAGGACAGACTTGTATAGTTGTACTTGTTGTTAGAGAAATTAGTGTTATGTGTGTGTGAATTATGGCCACTGATTTAGATGATTTTTTTGAATTGAGTTTCAATTTGTGTAATTGTTTTTGTAGGGCGAGACCTCCAGCTCCTCGTGGTGGACGAGGTGTCCCTACTGCTACGACTGCTCCTCGTGGTGGGAGACCTCTGGCTCCTCGAGGTCGTGGTGGTGCGACTGCTCCTGTTCAGACCCGGGTCGTGGTGGGCGTACATGAAGTCGACCTGTTTAAGCTACTGAAACTGAACCGTCTTCATCAAGTCCATCGATTCCCTCCCCTGTCGATAGTGGAAGTACACCTGCCGAGACTGCTGCCGAGATTCTTTCTGTTGACACAGGCGCTCCTGATTCAGAGACAGCTACAGAAGACTTTTTTTTTTACCGCGAGAAATGGTTGAAGATGGTGGGTAAAGCTTCTTGTTGGAAGGTGTTTAAGAAGCTGATAGTTGACAGCTACCCGATGGGAGAGTGCATACACTGTCATACTCTAATCAAAGCTCATCCTCACAAAAAATGGGACCACTGCAATGAATAACCACATGCACTCATGTTTGGCTAAGTTGGCAGCACCAAAAAATCAGACAGTATTGCAGACATCAGAAGGTGGTCAAGTAAGTGGTTTATGGAAGTTTGATCGGGGCAAAGCTAGATATGCATTAGCCAGTATGATCATTATGGATGAATTGTCATTTCGCTTTGTGGAGAGGGAAGGATTTAAGCAATTCATGTCTGCTGTTCAGCCACTGTTTAAGATACCCGGGAGGAAAGCTATAAGAGATGACTGCTTTCATATCTTCTTGGATAAAAAGATGGATTTAATTGATTTTTTTGAATCAAGGAGCCAAGGAAGAGTTTCAATCACTATGGATACATGGACTTCTGATAACAACAAGAATTACATGTGTGTTACCAATGCAGTCAAATTCGCGCTTTGAAACTTAAAAACTTAAGCTTTTACCTTTTCGGGTCACCAAAACGCTTCTACGTAGAATCGTGATTTTTCCTTACAAATGTAGTCAAAATCTACGCTTTAAAACTTAAAAGCTTACGGTTTTACGCTTCAAGGTCACCCAACCGCTTCTAGGTAGAATCACGCATTTGACTGCATTGTGTGTTACTGCTTACTTTATTGGAGGTGATTGGAAGTTGCAGAAGAAGGTGATAGCCTTTGTTCCCATCCCAAGTCATATAGGAGTTGATATTGCAGAGTGGAAGGTGAAGAATTTGTTCTGCTTGACCATGGATAATGCAACTTCAAATGATGTTGTCAGTGAGTGCATGAGAACGAAGCTAAAGGAGTGGGGGTGTGATTTGATGGATGGGAAGTTTCTGCAGTTTTGATGTGTTGCACACATCATTAATCTGGTGGTACAAGATGGACTGAAAGTGGTTGGTGGTGTTGTGGACAAAGTTCGGGATTGTGTGAAGTGGGCGAGGTCTTCACCAGCTAGGCTGTTACGGTTCAAGAATGCAATGGAATTTCTGCATGTGGAGTCAACCAAACTGGTGTCTATGGATGTACCGACCTGATGGAACTCCACCTATACCATGTTAGAGTCAGCAGAAAGTTTTGATGCAGTGTTTACAACTTTTTATTCAAGTCCACACGATCATTCTCTTAGAGATTATCTTGACTCAAGAGGTGGGCTTCCAACTAATCAAGATTGGCAGATGATTAGGAAGTTGAAAGACTATCTGAAAGTCTTCAATGACTTGACCCTTCTATTCTCTAGTAAGTGAAATTTCTGAATTGCATTGTTTTATTTAAAATTTTTAACCATTTGCCCATTTCTATTTGTTTTATTCTAATCTTCTGTATTATCTTCTCATTGTACAGGAACTAAATATGTGACTATCCATATCTTCTTCAAGAAGCTTGTTACGGTATATGACATCATCGAGCAATTGAAGAATGATCCACACGAAGAGATCCAAAAGATGGCTGAGAAGGTTGAGGAAAAGGTACAAAAGTATTTGTTTGAGTCATGTGTTGTGAACGAGAAGAACATGAAGGTGAACCACTTAATTTATATAGCATGTGTGCTTGATCCAAGAAGTAAACTTGATTTGGTGTCTGAGGTTTTGGCAATGATGTATGGGAAAGTGAAGGGAGGAGAAATGGTTAACTGCATTAGGTCGGAAATGCGACAACTGTTTGAGGTTTACAAAGGGAAGTATGGATCAACGGCACCCTCATCTGCATCTGAGCCTACCACTGGTGAGAGCACGGCTGGTGGTGATAGGATTAAGCAACTCGAGGACAGGCTTAGGAAGAGGAAAAGGGAAGCACTTCTGCAGGATACAGGAGGTAGCTCTGCTGAGCTTGACATCTATTTAAGATGTCAAACTGATGGCATCAATGAGGAGAGTGATGATGCCAAGTTTGACATCTTGAGTTGGTGGTCTCGACACACTGGAACATATCCGATTCTTGCTGAGATGGCTAAGGATATCCTAGCTGTTCCCATCTCTTCTGTTGCCTCAGAGGCAACCTTCAGATGTGGCGGTCAGATTCTCAGTCCATTCAGGTCTTCTTTGAGTAATATCATGTTGGAGGCATTAATTTGTGCGGAGGATTGGATAAAGTATCAAACTACCGGGGCCGGAGAGAATGACGATAGGGAAGATGATGACGAGATCATGGATTTGGAAAGCGGTAAGTTCTAAAACTCTTTTAATTATTGTTTGTTCAAGTACACATATACTATTTCTTTCTACCTAATTCAATGTATGAATATTCTAACAATTTGTTTTCTTTTTTCTTACTCAGTTAATACCACTTTCCAATATAGAATGGAAAGTGCAAGTGATGTTGGCAATGTTGCCAATGCAGATGCAAGTCTGAACATTCCAGATGGGAAAGAGCAGGAGGGTGAAGAAAATGTGTCGGAGGAAGAGTATGAGAAAGATGGATATGACGATGTTGGTCATGACCTCTTGCCGCAATTGAAAGAAAAGGGTTATGTAGATGTTGGTTCTTCTTCTATTGATAAGTGATGATTTGGTGGTGACTTGTTGATGTTATGTTATTTGGATTGGATGTATTGTAATTTGTGACTTTATGAAGTTTATGACTTTATGTTCTTGTATTTGAGACATTAATTTGGTGATTTAAATCTATTTTCTATGCAAAAATGATTGAAACTTGACTTGTGGAGTGATTTAGATGTAGAAATGTAGGGTTGAACGTTTAATTTTAGGCAATTTTATCGATCTTGTTTGTACAGGAGGCTGCCCGGTTCGGTTACTCGGTTATAACCGAGCCAACTGTGTAGTTGCGGTTATCTCGATTAATCGAGCAACTAACCGGTAACCGACCAGTCGGTTGTCGGATAACCGATGGAATCCGTCGGGCGGTTGGCGGTAGCCGTGTCTGGCTTCATGGTTAACCGGTAACCAAAATTTCGGTTATCGGTTATAATCGAGATAACCGAAAATCCAGCCCTAGTTAGGATGTTGGAGGCCTAGTTGGTTATCAACCCAAACTTGGTCAAACTAAAAAAAACCCAGTTGAATTCGGAAATCGAGTTGATTCAACTAACTCATCTAAGCACTGAATCACTTCAAACCGACATCATTTTTAACAAATTTAATCACTAGCTCTATTGACATGTCGTCCTTTTTCTTATCAAATACTCATGCAACAACATACATCAACCACCCGTGTTAGATTATCCCATAATATCTTTTCCTCCTTTAGTATCGGCATGCAACAATACAGGTCCCAATCATCTCAAAAGCCAACACAGTTTATCAGTAGTCAATTCCAATTTCCTTCCAGCAGCAAGGTCACATCGCCAATCAACCACATCTCAAACAAAGAATAAGCCACAAGATTAGACGAACATATATTTAGATTGAGACTTTGTGTGATTAACAAAGACCAATGTCCTCATTTGTATATATACATGAAATCGAATTGGAGAAGAAGAGTAAGAACATTGAGAATGGAATATGATTTGCAATGAAAATAAGAAAAGAAAAAACTAGAAAACTAAATGGAAAAAGATAAAAAGAAAGAGGGAAGAGATTTAGAATTAAAGCGTCATTTTAAAGCATCAGTTCCAAGTGAGAGAAAAATATAAAATTTAAACTCAATTCCAGCAAATAAGTTATATTAAATCGTCATTGTATCTAAATTTATCATAGAAATTTCATAAATATCTAAGCATAATACATGTGAAATTAGTAAAATTTTCATGCACCTAGGTTAAGCTAGCCTTAACCAGGTTAATCCAAGTCATCCATTAATCCTTAACCCACTTGCTTAAATGACTCATTGATGGAATCGAGTGACAA